GGAGGCTCTGCAACTGGAGACGCCCAACACCTTCCCTTGCTACAGCAAGGCCAACTATGAGACCATGAGGGACTACCTCATGAATGCATCATGGCCAGTGGACTGGACTCATCTCACAATAGATGAACACTGGTTGGAGGTGAAGAAAATAATCACTGGGGCCATCAGTCACAGTGTACCAGAAGTAACACACAGACAATCAATGAGAACCTCATGGTTAAAGCGTGGGACAGAGAGGCTTATCCGGAGCAAGAAGCAGGCTTGGTTCAAGTGGCGTACATCACGCAGGGAGTCTGACTTCTTGAACTACAAAAGGATTCGCAATCTCTGTAACATTAGAGTGCGTAACGACAGATTTTCCTACCAAACAAACTTGGCAGCGAGGTTACAAAGCAACCCCAAAAACCTGTACCGCTTCATGTCAAGAAGAAAGTCGACCAGTAAGGGAGTGAATCTTGTCACAGGCCATGACGGGAGTGTGCTAAGCAGTCTAGAGATTGCCGAGCTTTTGAGCTCACACTTCCAAGCCCAACTCAGCACTGACACAAGATCCACACCGACTCGCCACGACACCGACCAGGTCGCAAATAACGAATACCTCTGTCACGTCTCTATTACAGAGAAAAAGGTGTTCGAGAAGCTATCTAGGCTACGTCCGGGCAAGTCCCCTGGCTGCGATAACCTGAAACCAGTGGTTCTGAAAAACTGCGCCGAGGTGCTTACCAAACCACTTCGCAACCTCTTTGAGCACTCAATAGACTCGTGCAAACTCCCTAAAGAATGGAAGAGCGCCATCTTGTCACCCATCTTCAAGGGAGGAGACAGAAAAAGCCCTGGCAGCTACAGGCCAATTGCCCTACTCCCTATTGTGTCGAAAGTGTTGGAAAGCCTGGTAGCTGACACCATCTGGGAATTCCTCAATAGGAAAACACTGTCCATACTGCTCAGCACGGCTTTCGTAGTGGTCGCTCATGTGCCACCAACTTACTAACCCTGGGACGACTGGACACAAAGCTGGGATAATAGAAAACCTGTACATGTTGTATTTCTCGACCTAGCCAAAGCATTTGACAGTGTCCCACCCACAGTACTGCTTCACAAGATCATGTCAGCTGGTATAAGTGGACCCCTACTCTCTTGGTTCAAGGAGTACCTGGAAGGGAGGCAGTTCTGCACTAAAGTGAACAGAATAAGGTCGGAGTGGAGACCTCGACGTCAGGAGTATCCCAAGGAGCAATCCTAGGACCGCTTCTGTTCCTCCTGTTTGTCAACGATCTGCCAGACAAAATATCCTCACCCATCCTCCTCTTCGCTGACGACATAAAAATTTGGAGGGTGGTAAACGAAGAAGCTGATTGTGCAGCACTACAAAAGGACTTGCAGCAACTCGAGCTCTGGTCGTCGGAAAATGGCCTGAGCTTCAACTGGAAAAGTGCAAAGTAATGCACATCAGTAAAAATGAGGCAAGTACGACCGACTTCCAGTACATGTTGAGCAACCGTGCTATCACCAGAGTGTCCATGGAGAAAGATTTGGGGCTCAACTTCTCCGACACCTTGGACACCAGCTCCAACTACAAAGGTATGACAACCAGAGCGAACGCCATTCTACACTTTCTGCGTAGACAGCTTGGCGCCCTCACTCCCGAACTCTTCCTCACCATTTTCAAATCCTACGTGCGGCCGCACCTAGAGGTCTTCAATACGGTGGCTCCTCCAACACTCAAGAGAGACTCTAATCTCCTTGAAAGAATACAAAGAACTGCAACAAAATGTGTTGTGGGGCTAAGGGGAAAGACGTATCCTGAAAGACTTAAACACCTCAACCTATTTACCTTGGGTTATCGCAGGAAAAGGGGTGACCTCATTATGGCATACAAGATCGCCCATCAGGCAGACCATGCAAACAAATCAATTTTGCCTGCAACTGAACGATCTTCACGAGGAAACCCCATTAAGATAGCACACCAGAGAGCCAACACCACACTCAGGTCCAAATTTTTCTCCCTGAGAGTATGTGCTTTATGGAATGCCTTACCGCGACACATCGTTATAGCTCCTTCAATCGACTCTTTCAAGAGGCGATTAGACAGTTATGTCACCTCGCATGGACTACCACGGACGTACTCAGGTAGTCACCAACCTCAGTACCCCCAACTCCCTCCTAACTACCACTCACTATCTCTCTCCTTAATACACCCACATTACCTACTAATTCTTCTGTAGGAACCAAACCCACGCGACCATTCGGGCAATTCCCAAATACTTTTCTTTCGTTCTCATTTCTCTTTTCACCCTCCTTTTCTTCTCCTTCCCTTTTCTCTTCCCTATATTGTTATTATATTTTTCCTCTTTTTTTTCTTCTTCTTTATTCTCTCTTCATTCCTTTACCACTACCTTACTATTCTCTTTCAGGTACCTACACAGACAGGAGTCACGGTTGTTCTCTAAACTTCCAGCAACCCGTAGCTCCCTAATCACTCTACAAATTACAACCTACTAACCCACAAAACATCCACCTCACCGAAGCTAAAAGCAAGAAAGCAGAGGGGATTTCCTCGTCCACTGCAGGAGTGAACCGAACAACTCGGACCAAGCCCTAAGAACTAGACGCGAGAGATCAGAGACTACCAGTTTTCTACGATCGCACTATCAACATTGGATATTGGATCATATGGAATTTGGTAGATTATATTATTTTGCCTAATTGGTTCTATTGGATCCTTTTGCTGACAAAGCTTAACTCTAAGTGAGTTTGTTGGTTTAAATGCCACCCTAATTCCAACCTTGTTGACAATCCTACGTATGGTTTCTGATGTTCCTTCCTTGTATGCTATCACAATAGAGGTGTTGATTTCCTTTCTACTTATGTTGTCACTATTATTTGTATTAGTGTTATTATTTTGCTCCTTATGTGTTTGTATGAATTTCTTGATAAAATGATGGGGATAATTATTAAATATTAAGGCTTCTTTTATGTGTTTCAATTCCTTATTTAAGTTCTTACAATGACTAGTGAGTTTCTTAGCTCTGTTATTTAGACATTTGACTAAACCCGCATTAACTGACACTGGATGAAATGACTTGAAGTCTACATACCTGTTAGAATGTGTTGCTTTCTTTTAGACAGATATTTGGACTGTAGTTCAGTGGTTATCACCAATTGATTCACTTCATATCAGTATTCGTAGTGAACTCAGAATTCCATCTTCTGAATGTCTTTCTCTTGGAAATAACACCAGACAGCTTGCTTCACAGACTGATTTATAGGAAGCCTACATGGAATGGTCAATACTTGAATTTACATTGTTGGGTACCCCTGTCAGCCGGAAAACCAATTTCATCCATTCATTTATCTTCAAGAATCAGAAGAATCTGCACGAGTCATACTACGGACGATGAATTAAACAAACTGAGGAGAATTCTCATTCGAAATCGATACTCATCCAGATTTATTGAGAAGAAGTTGAAATTGAGAGAGAATACGGAGCAAGTACTCATAGTTGCAAAGAACACCTTGTTTATGAAGGTTGGTTTCAAAGGTGATAGGGCAGCAGAGATTGTGAAGAATTGGCTGTCCAGATCACTGAACAAGACATTCTTTTGTGAGTAGCTACAGATCAGCCAGCTTCTCTAATCACCGATTGGTTCTCGAGTGCGTTAACGAGAAGTTGACAGTTTGGGCCACCTCAATGTGTGTTGACCAATTGACTTGGTCATGTGGAACTAGTTATGTAGGCCGTGTGAAGTGCTCACTTCACACACGTACCTTGAGTACTAACCTGTATGGTTGTCGAGGGGAGAATATAAATCAATTAACAGTTCAATTGTTGAACATTTGGTCAACTCCTAACATGAAGCTCGACTAGAGTTCTCCTTCACTTTCATTCATACAGTCAAATGAAAAGGTTGGAAAGGAATACATCTTCGACAATTGTGTAGCATAGCAGAAGCACTGGTAATTCATCAATTCCAACCTGATCTCTGCATCCACAACAAGTATATTCAATCTCTTATCTTACCACACGAAGTCTTAACACTTTCAAAATCTTGTTTTAATTTCATTACAATTACTTAGTTTATCATTATCACCTACTTCATCACCTATATCTCATTGTTCACCTTCTTCTCAAGCATTTCTCATCTACCAACACCAGTTTTCACCTTTGTCAAACTCCTTGCCTTCCTCATTATTTCCATTGTCGAAAAGATTATTATCCAACTACTTTGCATTCTTCATTTCGTTTTGTTTTAAGCACGAACTGGCTTAATGATGTAAGTATGCCTTATTGTTTCGTAGAAGACCGTTATTTGTGTGTAATATATCTATGTATTGGACTGTCTTGAGTGTTTTGAAAACTGTGATCAATTTGCACATTCTTTACTGATATCTCTCAGAGCTACCAAACGTTCATATATCTGTATTTATCGAGAGATTCACATCATCTCATAATTGATACTAATATAATTATCTGACAGAAGGAGCATGAAATATAATGTCAGCGTATACAAGAGATCTAGCTAACGATTTGATAATTCTATCATTCAAATTCCATGAGATACAAACATCAGTAAAGACACGAATATTTGACAAAATCGATTGCCGATTGCCTCTATCCAACTAACATCTAGTAATATGTATCAATGTGATGATGAGCTTCCTATCTTGATTGTCACATTCAAAATATGATGGATAAGATTTGGTCTACACTCATGACTAGACAACATGAAATTGGTTGTACTCCCATAGCCAACCAATATAGATAAATCAGTCTTACAGGAGGTTAGTCACTACCCGAATAATTCAGTGATAAAGTTGCTGATACATATTCGAATGTCAAGAGAGATATCAATTTCGTTAAGGTTACAGATATGTCTTGATAATAAATGGGAAATAGCACAAAATGTATGTTTAAGGCTTCCCTTCAACCAATTAACAAAGCTGATTTATTTAACATGTTCATTAAACATTATAAAATAATCAGATATAAATTTATAACATCATATTCTATAGCTTAAACCATATGTTTCAACTTGAGTATTATGATATGGCATTGGTAGTTCAATTGTGTGTATAACTACCTTTTTAGAATGTTTTGTTTGAATGACTAGATTTTCTTTACCCCAAATAATTTTATTTGAATATTTTTCATAACTTTTCTTTTTCAACAAAGTATGAATAATGTTTATTCGATTTCTATTTGATATTCTATGTTCAACAAAAGTATATTTTTCATTTAAATCTTTACATAATATAGATATTTGATCATAAGCCTTTTGATAAACATGTGAATAACCAGTTTCACAATCATTACCATAGAAACCTTGATAAATTAAAAAGGCTAATGTATCTTTTGGTGTAGGATACCAATTATTATTCAATGGACGATAATATAATGGGAATATAATTGATTTTGGAAACCATATTTGATCTCTTATAACATAAATATGTGTTAGATTAGATAAATAAAAAAATAAATCTATATAAGGCCAACCCCATGGATACTTTGAAGTTTTTCTACTTTGTTCATAATCTATTTCTGTATCATTTTCTTCTGGAAGTATTTTAGTACATAACTTATCAATATCACCTTCAATATATTGTAGATTAGTATTATTATTATTAGTGAATAATTTTCTGACAATATGTTGTATACTTCCATCAATCAATAAATCAGCATCATCATCCCATGGAATAAAATCATGATGCCTAAATGATCCAAGAAGTGTACCACCATATAACATAAATCTATCACCTAAATTATTTTCATACATTTTATCAGCAAATAATTTTATAAGATAATTTATTAATTTACGTTGATTAGTACTAAATATTGGTTGAAATGCTGAAGGTAAACTACTTCTTGACTTATTGAAAAGTTTTCTTCCACTTGGTAATTTTGCAACTGATGGAGATGGCCATAATATACTTGATAAGTTAGGTAGTATTAAATTCTTTTCAAATAAACCTTTTGGAAAAACTTTAAAATGATTCATTTGTTCATCTTCTATAGCCAATGATGATGATGATGATGATGCTGAATAGTTAGAGAAGAATACATTCCATGGTTCCTCATTCATTATATATAAATAACTACAACAACACCAGAATAAACAAATCAATAAAATTGATATCAATATGTAGAACAGTTTTTTAGATATTGTTTTAATGCAGATTTGTGGAAATATATTTATCTCCTTCATTTTTTTTATTGTTTGATAATAAATAATTATTAGATAGTTGATGATATAATCTGACTATTGGATGGATTTATACGAGTAGGAGGATATTCTATAAATATCTAAAAGGAAGATAAACACAATAGAGTAATGAAAATGAAAACTGGTTGAGTATAGATAATGTATCAAATGTATCAATCTGTGTTGGTTATCATGCCTCACTGGTGTAGTGGATAACCGTTTAGCGTTTGAAGTGATAAGGTTTTGAGTAAATCCATCTGACAACTCGGTAAAAGGAAGAAACACGTATTAAACTAGGTTGTTCTGCTAGCCACAACCAAGTAAACTACTATAATATTGAAAAAAGCCTTTGATAGCGTCTACCGATAAGTAATTAGGCAGATAGTTGCTTCAACACTACGGAGTACCACAAATCTATATCAATCTCATTCAATAGCTATATGACGACGTCACATGCCAAGTGATTCACAATGAAAGCTGAGTGACACCTTTGAAATGAAAACAGGAAGGAGTAAGACAAGACTGCATATTAACACACATGATGCTCCTGATTGTGGTGGACTGGATGATGCAACAAACCATGAGGTGTGAGAAGATAGACGTAGACCAGGTGGATTGATGAGAACTGCTTAGAAGATTTGGATTTCGCAGACGATGATTTATGTCGGATGTCTTGCAGCACAAACTCGAAGATGTAGAGAATAGGACTAAAATGTTAAGAGAAGAGGCAGAGCAGGAAAAGCGGACTTCAAGTGAATGTAGATAAGATGGAGATGATGAAGATACCCAACCAACAACAGCATCAACAACAAGCAACAATCACCATTAACGGGAGAAATCTAAACGAAATTGTTTCTTTTACTTACTCAAGTAAGCAGAATTGTTTCAATTACAGGCGGCGACACAGACGAGGATGTGAAAACCAGTATCGGGAAGAGAGTAAGACAGACCTTCTTTCACTGATCTGAAATCAGTATGGAGATCTACTGCAGTCAGCACAAAGCGTGAACAAGATCTGGATTTGCAACACTAATGCTGTATGGTTGAGAAACCTGGTGCGTCACGAAAGGGATTTTCAAGAAACTATAGACATTCATCAATACCTGTCTACACTGGCTCGGTAGTGAAGATCAGATGGAGAGAATAATGATAATAAGAAACAGGGGACTGACTCTGACAACGAACCAACGAAGCAAGGACCTACAGCCCAACAAATATGCCAAAGCAGAAACTGGAGATGGATTGGGCATACACTGAGAAGGCCGACTGGGGACATCCGCGTCAGGCCAGGTACTCGAGTGGAACCAGATGGGGAAACGACGAGTTGGGCGAGGGTGTCCGAGGGTGACATGGATGAGAGCTTGTGGGCAGTGGTAGAGCCAGGTTCAAACGATTTCAGAGAACATCATCATCATCATTATCAACATAGGACCAGGCATTACTGCGTAACCCTCCAAGTTGCCACACCTCATATCAGCACATCAAGTAAAAAGGTAGTGAGGTGAAGGATGAAGATAAGTGAATGCAGTCAAAAGAAATATAAAGTACGAGAAGAAAGGAAAGAGGAGTGACAAAATGGTGAGATTCGGTTGTTAAGATGAGGATAATGTGTGTATACATCTGCGCCACTGACTTCGGTTCTGAGCCATATCACCTAGGGTCTCCAACCACTGGTTCCTCTTGTCCCGCGGACCCCAACCACCTAGTCTGCATCGTCCTACATGACTTAAACCAACAGTCAGAGACTTCATACATTGGTGCCATGTTTTAGTCTGGCTACCTCGGGCCTTTTTCCAGCCTGAACCCACCTCAGCCAACATTGTGTGACGAGGCAATCGGTGACTAGGCATACGTAGTACGTGTCCCAACCATCTCAGTCGATGAAGGTTCACAACCTCGTCAACTGACTTACCTCTTCTCCCTAAAACTCTACACCTGACTTTTGCATTACTCACGTGGTGTGGTGACACCACGGAATACATCCTATATTACGAAGGCAACGATGGTCAAACACCTGAAGCCTTTTTGTATCCTCCACTTTCAATGGCCATGTTTCACAGCCGTATAGTAGAACAGAGCGGACTGCTGTGCAGTACACGCGACCCTTAATAGACAAACGAATATCACGGCGGCGCCATAGGTGGCGCAAATTGGCAAAAGCCAATCGAGCCTTTTGTATCCGTGGTGCTGCTGAAGCCGTCTGTTCCACTACGAACCCAAGGGACAAATAATAGTAATAATAACCGTAAGGGTATAGTTTAGTATACGTATAGTAATAGTGTAGGAATACTACAGTAGTAGTAAAGTACGTTGATATTATGGTGTAGTATAGTAGCAGTATAGTTTAGTATGCTGGTAGCATGGCATCAGGTGAGTTTAGTATAGTAGTGTATAGTAATGGTTTATGATAGTTATAGCATCGTAGTAGTATAGTACAGTGATGGTATGGTATAGTATGCTGACATTTTATTATAGTAATTGTATAATATGATAATGATGTAGGATAGTATAGTTTAGTATCCCAATAGTGTAGTAAGAGTATACCATAGAAATAGTATAGCATTGTAGAGCATACTACATTAGTAGTATAGCATAGTAACAGTAGAATACATCCTAGTATAGTATGATGTCCTAGTAAATGGAATTAACAATGATTAAGTAAGGATATGAATAAAAGTCAGTTTAATCCTCAGAGAAAGAGAAATAATCACGTTCAAAATGTTTCCATCACGTTTATTTCATTGTTCACATATAGGACGAAGAGGAGACACAGGAAATGACAACAATTCATAGTCATTATGGTTTTCTATCCTTTGTTATCCTTTGTCTAACTCACATCATCTTCATGTATATTCTAGTTTTCTAGTGAATTATTCATTATTTCTTAGTATTTCAACCCTATTTTTCTTTGTTAAACTTTATAGCTTTGTATACTGGATCTAGTTCAGATGATGATGAAATTGAAAGTCAACCACGTGAAAATCCAAGAGAACGTTATATGAAAGCAGGATTAAGAGCCGTAAGCATAAGTTTACACTTATTTTCTTCTCTAATTTATCCACTAGATTTCGTCCATATCGAATTGTTTTGCAAGCGTATAGACTTATGTAGTTTCTTCTTGTCGTCCCTGTAGAAACAGTGTTGTGAATAAAGTGCATGTTTATTAATATTATTATTGTTATTACTATTACTATTATTATTATGATCATTATTATTAGTGCCTTGGGTTGTTAGCGGAACATAGGGATTGAGTATCACGTCTCCATTCCACTCTGTTCTCTGCAATCTTTTCAACCTGGCTCCACGATTGCTCCCAAGCTCTCATTTCTTCCTCACATCATCTCCTCCATGTCAACCTCAACTGGGAAACTCAACACGCCGTTTCCCATCTGGGTTCCACTCGAGCACCTAACCAGACGCGTGATGTCCCCAGTCGGCCTTCTCAGCGTATGCCCAATCCGTCTCCCATTTCTGCTTTGATATATTTGTTGGCCTATAGGTTTTTGCTTCGTTGGTTCGTTGACAGCCAGAGTTGCTTGTTGCCTCCAATCACCTAATAGTTGAATGTGCAGAATTCTACAAATAGTTTTCCATTCTCGTTCATCACCTCACCGAGTGCTTCTCGACCCATGGTTAGTTCTCTTCCTGTGTTATCAGCTTCTAGTTTCAGATTCAGATTTTGCTGATGATGATTTACATCTAATGTGTTATGTCGCACAAACTGGAAGATTTACAGGCGCAAGCTAACAAGTTGGAAGATGAAGAGGTGGTGAGGGACAAGGCAGCAAAGACAGGACTTGCTTCAAGTGAAGGTAGAGAAGACAGAGGTGATGAAGTTATTCAGTCAACATCAGCAACAACAACAAGCACCAATCAGCATCAGTGGTAGGAATCTAAAGGGAGTAATCTCTTTCACCTACTTACCTAAACAGCATCATTTCAACTGCAGGCTACGGCACAAACACAGGCACAGACAAGAATGTGACAGACATCCAGGATCGGAAAGACAGCAAGACACGCCTTCCTCTATTAGTCTGAAGTCAGTGTCGAGATCTACTACACTAGACTGCACTGCACTGCACTCCACTGCAGTCAGCATAAAGCCTGAACAATATTCGGATTTTCAACACTAATGCCAAGTTCATTTCAGTGCTTCGATGTGATGCTTGAGAGACTTGACGCATTACATAAAGCATTCCCAATAAACCACAGACATATATAAATAGCTGCCACCTACACTCACCCAATACTCACACTGAAAATCAGCTAGATGGCGAGAATAATGAGAATAAGCAATAAACAAGTGACTCTGTCAACAAACCCACCAACCAACCAACCAACCGAGGAGGCGAGCAACGAGGCAAGAAGCTATCATCCAACAAATATGCAGAAGGCGAAGGTGGAGATGGATTGAGTTGGATTGGGCATACACCGAGAAGACGGTTTGGGTATATCACACACCAGGTGAGGTGATCAAGTGGCGGTGAAATGGTAAACGATGTGTTTGTCGTGTGAGGTTGAGATGTAGGAGATGGTGTGAGGAAGAAATGAAAGGTTATGGATATGCATTGGTGGAGGCAGGTTAAAAGAGAAGAGTGTAGAGAGCCGAGTGAAATGGTGACGTGCTGCTGAAGCTTTACGTTCCACTAGGAACCTAGGGAACAAATATTGGTAATAATAATGTGCTGTAATCATGTGCCTGTACTACCATTAAATAGTGTTATTTTCTTTTTGTTTACTGATCGATTTTGTAGCTTGATTAATTGTTGCTTGTCCCCCTGTATATATTGGTTGATTGGGTCGTGAACTTGGTGTGCACCAGTGTAACTTTATTCATATTACTTGACTGTAACTGTATATACCAACATAACACTAATGTT